TAAGAAAGTTCAAAAACTTCAAAAAAAGAAATAAATTTAAAAATGATACTAAAAATAAAAGGTACTCATTTACCTTTGGGTGCCTCAAAAGCTGATTTAAATTGTTTATCATGTTGTATAGAATTTATCATGGTTCCTTTAGGAACCCAAATCAGTTTGTTCGGACTAATTTTTTTAAATAGACAATAATGCGTTCTATGTCCTAAGTTTGCAACAAAAGTTGCATTTGCTTTGATGCCGAACATGTAAGATAGGGCCTTTAATGAAGGTGGTTGAATTTTGGTGAGGACTTCTCACAAATCTGATTCCACTTCTTTTAAGAACGTGACCCTTATTTGTAAAGATCATGTTTAAAGACTTGCTACCAACCTCGAATTTCTTCAAGGTGTCCTTAAGTAGCCAGTTCTCCTTTTGGAGAGTTTCTAGATCATGGTATTTTATACATGGAGCTAAACTCTCATGATATTCAGTTTTTAATTTATCAAAATTACTAATAAGATTATCATGCTCCTTTTTTAACAATTTTTATTTTCTACTAATTATTTTGTATTCATCAAATAAGTTATGGAAGGCATTTAATAATTCATCAAATGATAAATCTACATCAATTAAATTCGTTACCTCATCTCCGATGGCCATTAGGGCGTAATGAGCAACTTGCTCGGTGTTGGACTCCTCTTCTTCGGATGTGCTTGAGTCATCACATGTTGCTTTGAGCGTCTTCTTCTTTGGTGTTCTCTTCTTAGCTTGCGGACAATCACTTTTGTAGTGTCCCATCTTCTTACATTCGTAGCAAATAACTTAATCTTTTTTTTGTTCAAATTTATTTTTTATATCATTTTTAAAATTATTTATTTTAATAAATTTTTTAAATTTCTTTGTTAGAAGTGCCAAGTCATTGTCATAGTCCTCATCACTTGAGTTTTCTCTTAAGTGGTCTTCTAAAGTTCTAAGTGTCATATCCTTCTTGTTCTTTGGAATGATGTCTTCTTGCTCATCATAAGCTTTACAGGTTATTTCGTAGGTCATTAATGACCCGATTAGTTCTTGAAGAGGGAAGTTGCTTAGATCTTTAGCCTCTTGAATAACAGTGACTTTAGGGTCCCAAATCTTAGGAAGGAATCTTAGAATCTTATTTACGAGCTCAAAATTTGAAAACCTTTTGCTGTGTCTTTTTAGACCATTGACGACATCCGTGAAATGAGTGTACATGTCGTCAATAGTCTCGCTCGGTTTCATTTGGAAAAGTTCAAAAGAATATATCAAAAGATTGATTTTTGACTCTTTCACTCTACTTGTGTCTTCGTGAGTCACTTCGAGTGTATGCTAAATATCAAACGTGGTTTCACAAACCGAAACACGGTTGAACTCATTTTTATCAAGCGCACAAAATAAGACATTCATAGCCTTTGCATTAAGAGCGAAAGTCTTCTTCTCCAATTCCTTCCAATCGATCATTGGAAGAGAAGACTTCGAAAATCTATTTTTGACAAGATTCCAAAGTTCAAAATCCATTGAAATAAGGAAGATCCTCATTCGGGTCTTCCAATAGCTGTAGTCCGTCCCATTGTACATGGGTGGACGTGTAATAGAGCGACCCTCTTGGTTTCTGACGTATGTCATCTCTCTTGGGTTTTAATTCGTTTGAGAGTCAACCGGGCTCTGATACCAATTGTTAGGATCAAGAGCATTAAGAGGGGGGGGGGGGTGAATTAGTGTAGCAGAAAACTTTCGACGATTTAAAATGACGTTCGTACGATAAAAACGATTTCGGTAAGAAAGCCGATTCGGAAATTACTTTAACTTAAGATTAAGCGAAGTGCAGTTAAAGTAAAGTTATGGAGGTAGTTTGCAGTTAAGATAGAGAACATAATGTAAGTGCAAATCGAAATATGACGTTCGTACGATAAAAATGATTTCAGTATGAAAGTCGATTTAGAAATTACTTTAACTTAAGATTAGATGAAGTGCAATTAAAGTAAAGCTATAGAGATAGTTTGCAGTTAAGATAGAGAACAAAATGTAAATGCAAACCGAGATTTAGAGTGGTTCGGTCAATCTTGACCTACATCCACTTTTGGCTTCCTCCTCCGATGAGGTCACCGACGTCCACTAGAGGCCTTCATTCAATAGGCAAAGGCCAACCACCCTTTTACAGCTTTACTCCTTTTGACGGGCTTAGGAGACAACCCTTACAGATTTTTCACTCTTTTCTTGAATGATCAAAACTTAGACGAAAAGAGGGAGAAAAACTTTTGACCTTTACAACACTTTTGAGCTCTAAAATTCTCAGAATAAGATTAAGATTTCGGTGCCTTTTCATGCAGGAAAGGGTGGGGTTTATATAGGCCCCAAACTGGTTTGAATTTGGAGCTTAAATATATCATCTCCCGGATTTTCGGGGTCCTGGCGGTACTACCGCCATAACTGGGTGGTACTACCGCTCGGAGACCGAGCTCAGGCGGTACCACCGCTTGACAGGGGCGGAACCACCACTTGACTTCGCTCGGAGACCGAGCTCAGGCAGTACCACTGCCTGACAAGGGCGATACCACTGCCCAAAATTCCTAGGAGACCAAGTCTCCTGGGCGGTGCCACCGTCGGCCAAGAAATCTGGGTCCGAATGAGTTGATCCATTCGGCCCAATTTGGGTCTGTCAAGGGCCTAATTACCCCCAAATTAAGTTAATGGGATCATCTCCTATTCCTAACTTAATCTACATGCTAACTATGATATTTAAGACATTAATACTATAACTTGCTCCGGTGCGTCAATCGCTTCTTCCGGCAAGCTTCCGGCGAACTTCCAGCGAACATCCAACGAACCCTCGGCAATGCTTCGATGGACTTTCGGCAAACTCCTGGACTTGCGATGATCCACTTGGCGAGTTCCGACGAGCTTCTTTGGCAAGCTCCTAGACTTCTCGGATTTGTTCCCGCAGAACCTCCGACGATCGTCCAGACTTTCGTTGAACTCTCGAACACCCAACATGATCATGGTCTTGACTCCGATGTAACTCCTGCTGCATGTCTTACTTCCATCGTAGTTAATCCTGCACACTTATCTCAACATATATATTAGATAACAATTGATAATTGACTTCATCATCAAAATCTGAGATTCAACACCAAATTCTTTGAGTTAGTAATTCCCCTCACCTTTTGTGAGCTTTGCATAACTCTTTCGGTCGCCGAACAACCCATCCCTCCTTACATGATCTCATACTTTGCCAAGCACCTTGATTGCCTTGAGCATCATCAAGTTTGGTTGCTAATGTCGAGTCGTAACACGAACTCAACTATCCCAACCTTTATGCGCTATATATTTCTTCTAGTTCGCTTGTTCTCGTGGTGCCTCTCACGCGAAGGGTTAGCTATTTCTTTGAATGCCAATCTCGGATACTTACTAATCTAAGTGACTCCTTTCTCTACATCTCAATGCTCATTTTGTAGGAAAATCTAGGGACAACATCACATACGCAGTGATAGAACAAAAAATAAAAATCCTTAAATTCCTAAAAAAATATGTTTGTCATCGTACGAAAATTAGTATACAAAATCTACGAAACTTAAAACCACGCATGAGATAGTTGTGTTACCTAGGGAAGGAGATTAGGAGAGAGAAAGATTGAGAGAAAGACCTTAATCTCTTAATCTCTCAACTACATTGAGATATGAGATCACCCCCTTTTAGCCCCTCATGGATTAGAAGGATTGAGAAAAACTTTACTACACTTTAGTCTCTAGAGGTCCTGTCATTTATAGGTGAGAACAAATGATCTAGGATTAGTTATTAGGAGAGTTCCTCTTTAACAAAAATATTTTTTTATTTATCAATAACCGAAATCAATCATATCTATAATATATCTTACATAATTAAATAAGATCAAGTAAACTAACATATTGTTGTCGTGCAGAATAGCTTCCCATCCTTCCATGTTTTGCATGCTCGCTCCTTTTGCATTGCAGCGTAGCTAGCAATTCTAGCACCAAACAAAAGCTTCCCTTTCCACAGACGACGCCATGTCCAGCAGGAGTTTGGTCAATGATAATTCCAGCAAAAAACAAAGCGTCTTCTTCGACTTGGATAAGAAGTCAAAGAGCGGCCAAATGTACGTCAACAAGACTTCGAAGATCTCCGTTTTCTTGTTGTTTGATTGAACGAACGGAGCTCTAAAATCTGTGGGTGTCAGACAATCCAATGAACACCGGTGAATCACAAACTGCTGAGCTACTATCCTCTTCGCATCGCTTCTTCAGTCAGTTCCGAAAGAACAGATTCCAAGTCAAAAACCCATCGAATGATCTAAAGCTTGTTCGTCAGCTAGTCTGTTGAGTAAGAGTTATCCATTTCCTACCAACACACAGCAGATTCTTTATATATCTGCTTCATCGTCAGAATAATTTTTGATCATCCGCGTTCAATAAATATGCATGACAATTGAATTTGATGCCACATATAGCTCGAGAAAGCTTTCCACAGAATAATAGTTTGGGGTCTTGGGATATTAATCACTTGACATGTGAGAGGAGCTCAATCATACAGCAGGTTGAGGCGAGTACACTACCAAATAGATTCGAAGTCAAGTCGATGAGAAGAAGCTTCTTGTTTTGGCTAACGGAGGAGGAGCAGGAAGAAGATGAAGCTTCCTACAACGTTGACTATCGTGGCTTTCTCCAGCCGTCCGATCGAGATCGTGCGTCTGGTAACTGTCTCGATCGCCGTCCGTGATCTGATCAAACGGTCGAGGATGATAGAAGCAGAAGGGCCCCGCACATCGATGCCATCATTGGGCACCTCGGTGAGTTTGATGGATGCATTTGACCAACAACATCATTGGAATTAAGTTTCTTACCCGTTGGAAGCGGTACCCGTATGACTTAGTTGAGCTGTTATTGGAGGAAGATGTGGCGTAATGGTGGTGGCCCACGTGAGTCCCAATTTTTCTCTTATAATGGATCGGGTAGTAGAAGCGGGTGTGGAACGTCGTTGGCTGCCCCGAGCACATGGGACTGCGTTCTGTTGTCGCCGACGGGGCTCTCTCTGTCACCTTCTTAAAGTCCACCGGACGATTTCACCGTCCATCGGTTTTCTGGGTTATCGTGTCCGCCACCCGATCCTTGGACCTCAGCGATGGAGCCGAACGGCGCGCCGCCAGGGCAGGCGACTGCTGGCCACCGGTTTGGACAGATCCCACCGCCGAACCCCCGCGGCGGCGGCGGTGGACACCGGCGGGCCCTCTCCGAGACCGTCCTCCGCCTCCCTGATGACCTCCTCTTCGACACCGACCCCGACTTCGGCATCTCAGACATCGACTTCCCCTCGCTCTCGGACGATAACCTGTCCGGTGGCTGCGGGGCTGTCGCGGCCGAGCCCGGAATGTCGGATCCGGCGGCGGCCACGTCGGGGAGGACCGTCCCTGGGGCTCACCTTAGGAGCCTTTCGGTGGACGGCGGGATCTTCGACGGGCTAGGGTTCCAGGCCGGCGCGGCGGCTGGAGGCAGCAGCGCCGGTGTAGGGGAGCAAGAAAGGAGGGGCCACCACCGGCGGAGTGGTTCGATGGACGGGTCATTCTCACCGTTCGAGGGGGATTCGGCGGCGACGTTGTCAGATTACGCGAAGAAGGCCATGACGGCCGATAAACTTGCGGAGTTAGCGCTGATCGATCCCAGGAGAGCGAAAAGGCATCACCTTTCGTTTCCCTCATCTCCTTTGCCCCCTTTTGCTGTGTGATTTAATCTTTTGGAGCCGATTCCGGATTTTTTAGTTACTAATTTCTATATGAAACCAAGTCGGACTTTGTGTTTTTACTTCTTATTTTCAGACTAATTTTTGCTGTTGGTTATGTTCTTCTGTTCTAAATTCATTTGCATCTTCTCTTGTTTGCTGCTTACTCTCAATTTCTTTTACTAAATTCTTGCACAAAAATGTCATATTTGCTTCCTCTTTTGTTAGATCAACACGTGAAATCACAATCAATTTAGTATCACTCTGCAAATTATAGCAAAAGCTGCTTCAGCATCTATGATTTTGATATTACTTTTTTTTCCCTATTTGTTGCTACAGGATTCTTGCAAACAGGCAATCCGCTGCTCGTTCGAAGGAGAGGAAGATCCGTTACACTAATGAACTTGAGCGGAAGGTGCAAACACTACAGACTGAGGCAACCACTCTTTCGGCGCAGCTCACACTTCTTCAAGTATGAACTACCTACCGACTGGCTTTGTTATTTGAAGTTCAGTAAAATTATTGAGTTGCACATGATTTGTTGGCTTTGAATAAACATAAACGAAGCTAAATCGATGTCACTATCGGTGAAATAATTTAGTTTATCTTCTGTTGACAATAGTGTTGCTTTGGGATTATTCTATTGCAAGTAGATTATTTAGTTGTTTGAGTGTAAACATTGAAGTAACAGCTAATTATTCTGCCAGAAGTTAGTCCTTGCAATGAAAAATAGCACCCGCAAGGTGGTAGATTTCTAACGATCAAATACATGTATGAGCCAAATCCTTCGGCTTTGACACATGTAGATTACATCGAAGATTTCAAGTTTGACCGAAGTTGATCTTATGTAAGCTTGACTCATTTGTAGGATATGAATTTTGAAGCCGTGCTTTTGGCATCCATTGTTTATGTTATATATGAAATCAAACCATCCAATGTCCTTGACAAGAATTTGCAGAGCAACTGCATGTAATCAAATTTTGCAGATCTTTGTCAGGAAGAGATGGCTTTTCGCTAGTTTCGGCTAAAATCGATAGAAATATAATGGAATCCCCAGCTCGATTCTTAGATTATCCAAAACTTAGGACCTTGCATGGTACCTCATACTTGTGATTTTCCCTTTTTTTTACTGCATGTGCCCTTTTCTGGTTGGTTGTATATCATGATTGAATACTACACAGCAATGCACAAGATTAGTTTTGAGTGATCACTGAGCATCATTTGTTGTATTTCACATTTCTTAAGGTTCTTACCACGATCAAAACTAATGGACTTTCTTTTTAATCATTGTTTTATTGTTTGAAAAATGTTGTTGAGCATTTTTCAGAGAATCTGAAAGCACAATGGTCTGATGTCTGAGTCCTTGATAATGCAGAGGGATACTACAGATTTGACTGCTGAGAACAGAGAACTCAAGTTGCGATTGCAGGCAATGGAGCAACAAGCTCAACTTCATGATGGTATGTGTTCAACAATACACTAACTGATGTCTGCTACTTTAAGCTCAGATATCCTTGAGCTTTCTGTAAGTGCATTTAATTTTAAGATGTTGAATGATGAAGCAAAGCAAGAATTTCCTTCTAGATATACAACTGAATAGGCAGATTATAGTATATCTTATCAACTCATTGAAATTAGCTCTGATCATAGCTGCCAGATACCTTTTAAAATTTAATACAATAGGAGAACATATATCGGAGAATTTTCTTGGGAAAGATACATGCATGTCCCTGTAACAGATATAGATTTGTTCGAGTATAATCTAGAACACTTGTTATAACACTGCTGTTGCAGTTTAATGCTTGTTATGTTCAGAAGCAAAATTTGGGATGACAAACACAGACTTGTTTAGGGTAGGGGAAAACTAGATAGTCATGATTAATCTTCTACTTCCCAGCTTCCAGCATTAGTCTTTGGGCACAGAAATATGAATTTGTTGGCAACAAGGTTTTTTTTTTGCAAAGAGTAAGTGGTGAAGGCAGGATTCAAGCCCATGACCTTGCGATACACTGTCAAGGTCTTTACCAATTAAGCTAGTCGGCACCTTCAGACCATGTCTTCAAGCATGTCAGATTTGACTCTAAGCAGAGTCAAAGAAATACACTTCTCCAAGCATGCGTCCTGATGGCTGATGTGGTCTGAACAATTTGAGTCGTCCACAAATAAATATTATCTCACCTCCTGTCTCTTTCCTTCTCTCTCTCTCTCTCCATCTAAACCCATAACTTTTCCATGCTGCTCTTCTTTGTGCTTATTTCAACACTCATCTTTTGCTAGAGACACCTTTGCTCTGTGTCTTTGTCAACATTTGCTCCAAAGAACTCAGTAAAGTTTTTCTCTTCTTGCATGCATATATAACCCTACAGGATTGGCTAAACATATATTTACATGCCACCCTCGAAAGTATCAATTTGCATACTCTTGGAAACCATACCATGCCTTTTACTTCCACAATACACCTATAGATGTTGTACTAACCAAGATTTAAATATGGGTCTGCGTACTGGAATCTTGTGGGACGGGTACTCGATGGCTGGTTTGATAGGGTATGTGTCGGTATTGAATGGTATTTTAGGTATATCATGTAATTTATAAACATGATGCTAATCCTAGTTAAACTTAAGTTAGTGTCAAGTCTCAATCCGAGCTGCAATGGATTTCTTTTTTTTTTCTTCTTGCTGTTGTAACCCTCTGTTTATGGGTTACAGTTTGGAGGGTGCTCTGGCAATTTGCTTTGACTGGCCTCATCATGTTGGAATACAGACCACTAATGTACATCGGTTTGTATGTCATTTTACACGATGACAAACCAATTCTAGAGGAGTATATGCATGCAAATCTGTTGGGTCTTTTGTAATTTACACTATTATATGAATCATCTATAGAAAAGCTTTCTAAGGACCATAGAGGGTTACTTTGTTTTCAAACTGGAACCATCAAATCATCAGTCTAGAAGGGGGATTTGAATTTGCCAGTTCCCTGTGGTGCACTAATTAGTCACAGGATGGCAAAATTTCGGTGGCTTAGCTTTCGTCTTTAAACTCCAAGTTTTCTCAGATGAGAAGTATTTCGTTAATCTTGTACTCCAGGAATTCTGAGCCTGACCATCCGCTGCCTAGCTAGAGGTTCTATTTGTGAAGGTTGAATCCTGATGCGTTATTTTTTGGTCATATATTTTGTCTGTTCTGATGCAGCTTTAAACGACGCTTTGAGAGAGGAAGTGCAGCGGCTTAAGATAGCAACCGGACAACTTCCAAGCGCAAATGGAAATCCTTTCAACGGCGGGCTTCAGCATTCTGTATCGAACTACTACGCTCACCCACAGCAGTTGCCGCCCCAGAGTTTGCGTCACGGTCAGCATCTGCATCCATCTCAGATGCAAATTTCTTCGAATGGTCAGTCACTTGTTCATTCCCCAAGTGATCCCATGGACTTCATGTGAGGGCAAAGTCGACGATCTAGATGGACTTCAAGTGAGATAAGTTAAAAGGCCAGCGACGTTGAATGCAGCTCATAGAAATTTGGTAGGGAATCGTTTGTTGTTCTTTGTACCATTAAGTACAATAAAAATGTATCTCTCATTGGGTATGTTTGAGCTGAACAAGTCTTCTGGTTGCAGTTGTGTACAGAGTTGATGGGGAGATACATAATTCACATGACAGTCAATCTTGTTGGTAATTGAAGTTTCAGTTTCAGTTTGTCTTCAGGAAGTGAGGGATTCCTTTTGTTGTTTTTGGCTCTGTGATTTTGGCTCCAAAGACATTTGTTTAGACTGTTCTATATATTTTAGTCTGTCAAGAACTTGATCGAAATAACTCCCATCTCTATGTTTCAGCCAAGCATCGTTTCCAGCACCTTCCAACCTCTCAGAGGCAGGTAGTAACTTCTTCTCATGCACATCTCATCAAGGATTTTATGGCTTATGTTTAATGCTCATGAAATAATTTTGATTCTTTCATCATTTTGGTTGTCAACAATTTATCATTCTCAAATATCTCCATATGCTCATCCAATGAATTCGGCGTGGTCTAATTTACTATCTAGTTTAATTGCTAATTCGCATTGCTCATACAATGTAGTTTATATATGGATCGATCAAACCAATTGACTATTCCAAAACTATCATTTCGCATTGCTATCAATTTAGTGCCACACATTTTTCTATCTAATGATTTTATGATTTAATATTACTTTCAAGAGACACATACACACGTCTTGTATTGTCGATATAGTATAACTTACTTACTATCGAACTTATCATTCTTTGACTTACTAACTCGACTTCTTCGTAATCAATGGTTCAAAATATTTTGATCAATATAATAATTTTAGTTAAAAATATTAATATAATATTTTATTATGGTTTTCATATGTGGAGTTTGATGTGGTTAAAGAGTCTTTTACAAGATCATATCTATCTTTCTAATATTATCAACTTTTTTTCTTTTTCTTTTTCTCTTTTAACCAATTTTTACAATATTTTTGCAGATTTTTTCCTTTTTTTTTCAGCAGTCTCTCTCTCTCTCTCTCTCTCTCTAAAACACCATCACAAGTCTCCAAAAGAATCACAGTGTTGGGTCGTCTCCGCTGCAGCCGCTGACTCACCTCCACGTCCGCGTGGGGAAAAGGGTGATGCGGACGTCTCCCCGGTTATTCTCGAGCCCGCCATCGCCTGCGCCATACGAGACACCAGCCGCGCTTCCCCTCCCGCAAGGCTCTATCCTTCGGCGGGCCCCGCTCGCCGATTCGCGTTTCCTGTCTCGGCCGAGGGCAGGCCACTCATTCTTCGAGTCAAAGCAGTCGTCAACGCCGTGACTCCTCCCTCAATTTAATTTGCCTTTGGGATTCGCTTCTCTATCTCTCTTTATTCGAATTCGACGTCTCCCTTCACAACATATTCCTAACGCCAGCCGACACGCAGTAACAGCAACGTCGCATCGCGGACTAATAAATCTCCTCCTCCCTTTCTGCCTGCCCTCCCGTCATCTCCTTTCCCCACCACACACCGGTCTTCGGTCAACGGAGCCTTTCGTGTGCCTCCTTCGTCCTCCAGCTTTTGTATTGATTAAGATTAAGGGAAGGTGCAGTCTGCATGTCGTCTCGGTCACGTATGTTTTATTCTGCGTCTGCGCCCATCCTTCCTGTCTTCTTCACCACCCGTTCCTGTGCCTACCATATATCATCTTTTCCGTACAACAAGTCGACGACGATCGGCTCTTCTTCTGATCGTGGTATAGAAAATATTTATCTTCGATCATGTCTGCCGACATGTACACTATTCGTTCATCTCACAGCTGATAGCACGAGTAACGTGGGCAGGTCATCACCTCGCTGCATGGAGTTTGGTGGCCACATAGATAGAAGATAACAACATAACAATTCACATGACCAGTCGATTAGAGAACAAAAATTGTTTCCCAATTATTTTCACAATTTAGAGAACAAAAAGGACCACGACAAAATTCACGATATTTCTTTTGTATGATTTCTTCATCTATCAAAAATTGGCGTCCATTTACATGTGTTTTCAAAATATGTTTCTCGTAACACTCGACAAGAGAGAATCGATTGGTTTTTGTTTTATGTTTCAGAAGGGCGTGATATGGATGGTATTGGTATCGTACCCCGCGAGGAAGCAGTTGGAGCTGACACGGAAGATTTTGAGCAAGTCTGCCGCCATTTCTCTCGCCGCCGGAGAGCACCCGGTCTGCATCAGAAGCAGCAGCTTCGTCGCCCCTCCCTCCGTCGCCGCCACCGCTTCCACCGCCCGCCTGTCACGGAACGCGTGGCACACGCTCCAGAGCACAGCCACCGCTGCCTCCCCACCCTCCCTCCCGGCTTTCACCATCCTCCCCACCACCGCCGTCGCCGCATCTGCCCCGTCCTCGCAGATCGCCGCTCGGCCCTCCGCGCACCCGGCGGCTGCTTCCATAACCCGCAGCGCTCGCCTCGCCGTCGCCGGCGGAGCCACCGCTGGATCCGCCCTCAACACGCGCGCCAGCGCTGGCACCACCCCCGCGCGGACCATCCGCGGCCGGGCCCGCTTCGCGGCCGAGATCCCGGCCAGACACCCCAGCCCCGCCTCGACCGCCCGGCGGTCCATAGTCGCTCCCTTCTCGTCGGACGGACCGATCAGCCGGATCAGCTCTCTGACGAGCTCCTCCTTCTCGGCTATCAAGACCTTGAATTCCGAATCAGACGCGGCAATGATCGCATCGAGAACACTCGCCGCATCGATCTGCGACTCCAAGCTGTCGCCATCCCTCAATACTCGAATCAAAGCCGAAACCGATCGGTCGATATCGGAGACGAGGTCGGCGATCGCGATCTTCTTATTGCAGCCGTCGATGAAATCGGAGGTCAGGATCAAGGCGAAGACCCTTGCCACCGCCACCGAGCTCTCCAACATAGAGTCCTTCCGCACAAGAATGGAAGCGAGAACGGAAGTGCATCCGCCGACACCGACGAGGTCGTTCTTCTCGATCGGTTCGACATCGTTGGCGGAGAAGAACTCGGCGAGCTTGAGGAGCGGGGGCACGGGATCATCGTCGCCAGCGGCGATAGAGGCGGAAGAGAGCTCGTGTAGGAGGTCCCTGGCGAGGCGGCGGGGGACGAGAGGGGCAGGGGCGGCGGAGGAGGACCAGAGGTGGATGAGGCGCTGGAGGGTGAGGTTGGGGACGAGGTCGGTGGAGGGGAGTGGGAGCATCGTGGCCGGACACGTGGTGTTCCCGGATTCAAGCCACCGTTGGATGGAGGCGCGGTCGTAGGTTACGCCCGTGCACAGGCTCACCGGTGACCGCATCACGTCCAGCGAGATGGGGCACCGGAACAGGCTCGGTATCTTCACCTCCAACGCTTGCCCCGGTCGCTCTTCCTTCCTCCCCATCGTGGCACCCGCGGCGAGAACACCACCTCGGCTCGAACCTTCGCTTCTGTTTACTCTGTGCTTACAGGTGCTCGAAGAGACTACGGGCGAAGGGCGAAGAGCGACGGGAGCATATATAATGTTGCAGGAGAAGAAGGTGGCTTTTTCGACGACCGGTGGTACTGCTGAAGCTCCATCAAAAATCTTCGATTCCCCATCAATTAACGTATTCGAACAGGTAAGCGGTGGGGAGGTCTCGGTCAAAGGTGGATGATTGAAGTAACCCAAAGCTCATCGGGTGCACACACACACAACAAAATGAGGAAAGGTGAGGATTTGTCGGGAGGCGCTTTGTGGGTGCGTTACATTGGCCGGTGTCGTCTTGCAGGTCTCGCATGGCGCAATCAATTGACACGGGAGACTGGGAACGGAGCCACACTTGTCCACAAGTCATTCCTGGTTAGTGATTCCGCACGCACCCAACGTTTGGGCTCATTCTTGTTTCTATTTTGATATGCGCTATTAGCTATAATATACTATTTTTGTTATGTGCTAAATGGTATATGGACTCGGAGGAGTAAGTGCATGGTGCATAGGCCACGGTGGGCCTCACCTGACGCTCTATTGCGAATCCTATGCTCTCACCACTACTCCTCAGACATTTGAATCCTGCTGTAATATTCTATCATTGACATTTAGGAACAATTTGTTATTATTTTATTTAGTGCTGATCTGACTTCAATTATCCATATGACATGTAAGTCATCAATCAAATTAAAGGAAAAAGGGAAAAAAAGCATTTATTGAGTGTTTTTAGATCAAATTGGAAATATTAAAATCTTTAGAATTAATTTAAATTAGTGAATGTGATGTTTGGTTGAGGCCACGTGCACTTTTAAAGTCACTAGTGTTGGGCAAAAAAAAAAAAAAAAAAAAAGATCGACTAGTGATATATGTCGGGGTAAACAACTTTAAGCCGTGGCCTTGGGGCCGACGTGGCTCGGTTCGGATCTGGATGACGGGGATCTCCCAGGAGGGTTCCTTGGGACTGTGGAGGTTACCGACTCGGGTCGGTTCGGTCGTGGAGGTGGGTCGTCATTTCCTTTTGGAGGGAGTTCCTAGCCGATGCGTTCAGAGAGGGCCGCCTCGTCTTCGTCCCTGCACACAGGTCGAGTCGAGATGCTCGACCCGACCCCTCCGATGGTTAAGTTAGTGAATAGTCACAGGGGATTTTTTTCCCACTTGGTGCCCAGAGCGCATGGGTATTTATAGGGGAGTTTAGTGTCACCTGAAGTGCCTGCTCGCCGGGGGCAGGATCGTACCTTCTGATGACGTCTGACATGGCTGTTGGCGTGGCGTGAGGGATTGAGCTAAGCAGTCGTTAATGGGCCTCGGTTGGCGTTGCGACCCATGTGGGCCAGGCATTGTCAGCCCGACAAAGATGTGGGGCATCAGCTGATGTCACGCGGGTCTTATCGTAATTATCATCCTCATCAATATAGAAAATATTCATCTCTAGAAAATCTTAATCGATCTTGTTACATCAATAGGTGACCATAAGCATAGTTATTGAGGTATAGTATCGTTCTTTCTCAATCACAAAATTTGTAGTAGAAGTTTGCCTCAAACATCCAAGGGATTGCATTTGAAGACATTTGTCTCTTTGCAAGTTGACATCATCTACGGTATCCTCGTGCTCCTGGTGAGATTATTAATCTTGACATGGATCAAATAAGTCGATAATCATCTTAAATCTCTATCAAGAGATTAACACATGATAGCCATATCATATTTTAACGATAGAAAATCTCAATCGATCTTGTGGCATTAATAGAGTCATAATCGTAAGTGATTAAAGAATATCGATTATAAAATATGATCACAAGCATAATTATCGAGGTCTAGTACCGTTTTTTTTCAATCATAAATTTTATAACAGAAGTTTAACTCGGACGTCAGAGGGATCGCATTTGAAGACATAGATTTCTTTACTGTTGATGTCATCTATGGCACCCTTAAGCTCGTTTGACGAGATTATTGGTCTTGACACAGATTGAATTTGAATTAATCAAGCTAACAATCATCCTAAAGCCGACACCGACATTAAGTACTATCAAATAAGATTATAATTTATCTCTCGAAAGATTATATTTTGTTAACTGATAAGTAGTCAAATGTCAATTTAAGGTAAAAAATTGTTTGAGGATCAACTTTAACTCTCACTTTTAGTTAAAAGTACCCATGTCTTTATGCCGTTTGACATAAACTGTTTTTTTTTTTTTTTGCTTAGTAATTCTGTCGCACACTCATATTTAATTGTTCAGTCCAATAAATTCGACACTCATATTTGTTGTTTGAGCTGCATCCGTTCCCACATCATGTAGTCAGTCAGTCATCTCTTTCCTAAACGTTATTTCTCTTAATCTTATTTCCTTTGTGGACCAATCATAACGAGACACATGTCCCGTCTACCAGTGGCAGCTGCTTCTCAAAGCAACTCGGAATTAGAATACCTCACCCGTATCTTAGTCAACGAGGTGGGACTTGACCGACGAGTTTCGTTTCAACGATGACAGCCTTGCTTGGCCTCATGCACTGTCTTTTTGTGGTGCCGACCTGACGACGACTACAGCCCACCGCATTACCAAATGGCACACGTCGGTGTCTCCCGTCGTCAAAGTCAAAGGCGCAAGTGAATGGACTTTTGGTGGGTTTGTAGAAAAGAGGCGTTTCCAATGGCTTTCATTTTGACCCATTTGAGAGACGTGTGGATGAGATGGGAGTCCTAATGCGCTTCACTATTTCTGCAAATAAGCATCAAAGTCTTGAAGTTTGACTGAGATGGGAGTCTATTGGGCTTCACTGTTTCTAAAAATAAGCATCAAAGTCTTAAAGTTTTGACTGGGATTCCACCAAACGTACTAAAAGAATTAGTAGCCGTGAGGAAAGATGTTGGTTTGTGCCTATCAAATTTGGTCTTCCTTTTCGCTGTCGAAAGTACTATTTGCACTTTCTTTCTTCTACGCTAGCTCAAGTCATTAATGAAGATCTCAAGACATTCATCTTACGGTCCTCCTCGCCAAATTGCACCTTCTTGTCATCCTTTTCATGCTGGAAACTATTGGCTTCAAGTGTACGATACAATCGTATCGACTGTTCTCATGAGCCTTCGGTATACATTCCAATATTGGTTTTTTTACTCTTAACACAACTTATTGTCACGGCTTAATTAACTGATCTATTAATTAGTTGAGCTTAAATTATGAATCAATCAATTGTACAATTCATTGGTTGACACAACTCAGTAGAATAAGGATAATTATTCTGTTAACTTATTAGGCCTTGATGACTTATTAATCAATCAAATAAAGCCTTCACGGAAGGCTTTATTCATTGTCACGATTCGATCTAAGGAAAATTTTGTTGAAAACTGTAATTATTGACATTACCTAATCCGATGAAATAATTGACCTAGAAACTTATTGAACTTAGGCCATTGTCAAATATTTTATGAAATATTTTATCCTTTTATGATTAGATATAAAAACTAATTTTTAACACGATGAAAAAAAGAGATCATTTTTCGACTACTCACGTTTATACTCACCTACCTCGAAGTTTCTAACTTATGCATCGAAGAAATTAAGTTAATAAATCTCTTTCGACCTCGATCATGTAGGTGACACATTGGGAGCTCGGAGTTTTCAACTTGAAGGCACCCTTGATAACCCTATACATATGAGTCTAGATCACATCGAGCTAACCAAGACATCAACGATTTCTTCCTGTACAATTTCTGGTGTTAGAAGGAAGGCTCGATGTTACAGGAACAATCACCCACTAACTCTCTCAATGAATGCTCGAGTGAAGATGCCTTACTCTCAACCCATAATACTTTCACTCATGAGGGGCAGTAGCCACCCTTTCTACATGTGGGTGCATCCACCTCAAAGCATACGTCGATGTGATATGGGCGTCTATTCAACAACCTAGGTCTCTCACCCTTAGGGATGATCTTAAGCCACCTACTTATCTCTACCGAGGTGTTCTTAAATCTCGCTTGGCAAGTATAGATGCTAATAGCATAATTTAAGTCATTGCTCTGCTTTTGCCCCAATTAGCTCAACAAACGATGCCACTAGCTCAATTGTGGTCCCTCACTAAATCGCTATCAACATCATCACTTGTCAAGGTTCCCTGACCGAATGTGGCACCGACATCCTAGGAGTACTTCAATCCTCAACCATGGAATTTAACGAAGCGCACCACCATTCTACCATGCTTGAATCCGAGGCTCAATCGACGAATTCGATAAAGGATTCCTTGCGAATCCAATTGCGATAAATAGATTAACGTTTGGAGGAAATACGACAAGAGTTCTAATAATCAAAATGTGAAGCATCAGTCGACCTCACCTCGGGTCAATCACTATTCACCCAGAAAATCTAGGAGGAATCAATTCTAATGAACTTTCATCTCTCATTCTTGGAGGTGTTCGATGGCAGTGCCAACCCAATTGAGCACATTGTAGCTTTCTATACACAAATGTAATAGTATAACACTATGGATACTTTGATGTGCGACACCTTCTTGATCATGTTAAGAAACTCAATATGAGAATGTTACACTCGCCTGAAGCTACTTTCCTTCAATTCTTTTACCTAGCTTGTAAGGGAGTTCAAACTTTATCTCCTCGGGAGCATACACTCATGACCTTCGGCGGAAACACTCCTCGGACTCAAGCAAGACGAGAAAGAAACACTTGTCGACTTTACCACTCAATTCATGAGTAAGATCCGAGGTGTGCTAAATGTCCATCCATCACTCATAATATATACCTTCATGATGTGGTTAAAGCTCTCTCGCATTTTCTGATTGTTGATAGAGAGACCACTAGCAATTATACTAGAGGTACTTCAAAGGACCAATCAATACAATTATTATTGAGAGATAATGGTCTCGGGCAAGCATGAAAAGTTACAAAGAGGCTGAAGCAAAAGTGGCCATAATCACCCTAACCCACATAAGAAGAAACCTACTATGGCGGGAGGCATAAAGTAAAATGTGCTCGATACATGAGAGTTGAAAAAACCCGACCCACGTATAAGAAACTTGTCATAGCGGGAGGCATAAGACAAAATGTGCTTGAGGCATGTGAATAAAAAATACTCGACCATCATAATAAGAAACTCACTACAGTGAGAGGCACAAGACAAAATGTGCATGAGGCACATGAATCAGGAAAATCTGACCAGCGCAATAAGAAACTCATCACAGTGAGAGGCATAAGACAAAATGTACCCAAGGTGCATGAGTTAAGAAAACCCAACCTACATAATAAAAAACCTATTATGATAGCATGCTTAAGAAAAAATATGCTTGAGGTATATGAGTCAGGAAAACTAAACTTATGTAATACAAAACCTGCCACCATGGAAGGTATAAGAGAAAATGTGCCCAAGACACGTGAGTCAAGAAAACCCAATTTGCGTAAAAAGAAACCAACCATAGCGGGAGGCACAAGACAAAATGTGCTTAAAGCACATGAGTCAAAAAAATTATACCAACATAATAAAAAATTCATTAGGATGGGAGGCTTAAGACAAAATATATCTAAGACATGTGAGTTAGGAAAACCCAACCTACGCAGTAAAAAACCCTGTCATGACGGGAGACACAAGATCAAATGTGCTCGA